AGCATTAAAATGACGCTCATTCAGGGTTGATTTTGCAACTTTTGTTACTTTAACAGTCCATTCTAACTTCATCAGGTTTAGAAAGTTTGAAGCATCTGAACGCCCCTGTTCATCTCCAGATTTTATACTGTTTCCAAGTTTCACAGACGCTAAACGACAAAAGTCAAACCCAATTTTTAAAGCCGTGCTTGGGTGGTCCAAGTCAAATTCATCAGATTCCTCCTTGTCAACACCATCACAAGCCTTAATTGCACAAGACACAAAAACATCAAAATATTTTGGTACCAGAAAATCAGACATACTAAGAGATAGGTTTGTTGTTTCTCGAACAAGGAGAAGGAGACGTCCAGCAAGTCGCATGTGGTAACTCGCATAATGTTTTCGTTTTCTTTTATTATCTATTTTTTTTTACTGTGCCATATATCTCCAAGCATCAGAATAATGTGGTCCTTCAAAACACAGTCTGTCTCATCGCTGGAAGAACTTCTTTTTGAAGTATTTTTGAACTTTCTGGAATGATTTTTCCTGCCATAAATTTATCCTGAATGATAACAGACCCTTTGCTCTGGAAATCTGATCCTGTCTTAAACGCTGGACAAGAGATTTATAATTTGCAACTGATTTCTCAAGCTGAATCCATTCAAAACATTCCAGGCAAGGCCCATATTGTTTCAGACTGAATTTATTCTGGGTTCTTGAACTTCTTCTTGAAAGTAGTATTTCGCCCTCACCTTTTTGAAGAACAGACATATTGTGAATATTGTCTCCCTCATTGCGAATCAGCGTTACTTTTCTATTGATTTCCTTCATAAGGTCAGTTTTCTCTTCTGTGTTGCAAAACTCTTTTTTCTGTTTCATGGTTTTAATTTCTTGTACCTCTTTTTTGTTGGCATGTTTATTCTCAATGTGAGTTTGGATGTTTGAATAAAGGTCATGACAAAAAATACATGAATGAACAAGGTCGTATGTTCTTCCGCTTTTTGATCTTTCATTATTTCTTTTTTTTGGAACTTTTTGATAAAAATATTCGGATACTCTATGTCAAAGTCACATTCTCCACATGACAGTGTTTTTTTTTTCTTTTTTGCGGAGAATTCACATTTACAATACTCTTTAGAATTTGATGATTGCCCTTTTTATAAACACTTTTGTCAACATCTGGAAGGTTTTCATCGTTTTCACTTTCACTTGATGCGTTATCAGAATCGCTTTTACTCGATGAGTTATCAGGATCACTATCTGAATCAATCCAAGATTCATCAGAATCATCCATATCGGACTCAGACTCTCCATCATTAAACTCTACGTCTGACTGATGAGGGTGGTCACCTACAGAAGAAGATATAAACAGAGTCATCTTCATCAGATATCAATTTCCAACAACTATCGTCCTAATTAACATCGTCAGATATCTCACCTGCATGTGCATCTTGAAGAAGAGACTCAATCACTGCATCAACAGAACTGGATCCTTTATCTGACTCTCCATCATTAAACTCTACGTCTGACTGATGAGGGTGGTCGCCTACAGAAGAAAATATAAACAGTCATCTTTATCAGATATCAATTTCCAACAACTATTGCTCCAGTTAGCATAGTCAGATATCTCTCCTGCACTTGCATGTCCAAGGAGAGACTTAATCACTGCATCAACAGAACTGGATCCTTTATCTGACTCTCCATCATTAAACTCTACGTCTGACTGATGACGGTGGTCACCTACAGAAGAAGATATAAACAGTCATCTTCGTCAGATATTACTTTCAAACAACTATTGCCCTAGTTAGCATAGTCAGATATCTGCATGTGCATCTCCAAGGTAAGACTCAATTACTTCATCAAGCTCAGCTTTTTATTTTCATACAATTGTCCAAGCAATGAATTAACTTTATTGTGTTTTTAATGCAAAACTAAATGTCTTTGCTTCATAAACACAATATAAATCTGCTATTAAGTAGGGATGACAATCCATTACAAAATTGCTAATTGGTTAACTTCATCCCATTTTGATTGTTATCATGAAAGGTTTGCGATAAAAAGCATTTTTTTTATTGAGACATTATGATAATTGTCTGAATTTTGAACCGATAGATTAGTTGAAATTTTTCGATGATATTGATTTACACTAGGGTCATCAGCTTTCCTGCCAAATCTGGATTCAGAGTCTAAAACATTAAAGAATGAATCAAATGCAAATTTGATAGAAATATTACATGTTTCTTTACTGTAGTAATTTGTTTTTTATTATTATGATTATTATTTTGTATTTTAACATTTTCAACTAGTACTACTCGAGGAATATGATAAAATTGGCATAAAGGTACGATGACCTGCAATTTGTAAACCTAATTTTACAAAAAAATGTCTTTATGATGAATAATTTACTAATTACTTAAATTACTTAAGTCCAAGTGTGCCCTGTCCTACTTTTATACCTCTCAGTTAAAAAAAAATTGGTATAAGCATCAATGCATATCAAAGCTGTTTACTAAATATGGTTTCATCGATATTTAGCGAGCACCAATTATTGTGGATTTCATTGTTGAACAGACCCATGAAAAGAAAAGTGCAATGAATTAAGCAATTAGCTATCAATCGTTTTACGTATCTTTGAAACTGTGTATTTTACAAAATCCAGGAAAATTGATGCTGCAACAAAAATTGATGAACCACAGTAGTTTGTCTGCTAAAAATCAGCAAGAACCTAATTCAAATTAAAAACCTGCACTACTTTCAAAACCTGCATTCAATCAAAAGTTTTCACATAAAATTTTGGTGCCTATGGATCATAAATTTAAGGAATAAAGTTTTCTGTAAGTATTGTCAAAAGATGTTACACATCAATATCATGAATATGATAATATTTGCCTTGTAGATTATAAGAAGCAGCTTACACAAATGAATTTTTAAGCTATATAATATGATTGATGCACGACATGAACTTATAAAAGATAGCAATAGGAGTAGTATAAACGGTCTGGATGGGCGGGTCAAATGAGTGCACTTTTCTTTCCTCACTAAAAACTGCTAAGTCCATAAGAATGATCGAGAAGGATCTAAAATGTGTGCAGAGGCAGTGCATGGAGCTCATATGCATTATGATGTCATAAACTTGGCAGTATATGGGGAAAAACCATACTATGAGAATGCGATTGTGAAAAAAAAACTTCTGCGGTACAACACTCATTTGATGTTGACAATCAGCTGACTGATGTAAACATTGACTGTCCTACTTTCAGCATCCAGTGCAGTATGACGTCATAAACGTGTCAGCGATTCAAGTCACAAAGTGTTTGTCTCTGTCTATATCACACACATGTATACAGAGCTGACAATCAGCTGATTTTTTTTTTAAATAAATCATAACATAACACATATGTTGTTTTTTCTGCATTTATTGATAAAAACAACAACAGCAACATAAAAAAAAATACACTGTGAATATAATTTTAAATGTCCATTAATTTTTCACTTTTTTCTGCAATTTTAAGCTTTTCTTCTTAGGCGGCTCGACAGAGGAGACTTGGATGGGAGGTTGAACTCTCTTCTTTGGTTTATTTACCTGGGCCACAGTGGGTGGTTTGTTTTCCTTGGTTTGACTGGGTCCTGGGTTTTCATGTATGGTTGTGTTAGGTGTGGTATTTGGGGGGTACCAATTTTTTATTATGAGCAAAGAGCGATAACTCTAATATTGTTTTTGTGACTTTTCGCTGAGCTCTTCTTTGTTAGAAGTTAGAATCTGGTGCCTCGTCCTACAATAAAAGTGTAAACACCTAACATCTCTTTTATTTTCTCCAGGTAATTATTTAATTGGAACATTTATGTGCAATGTATATTACCAAACTTATTTTTGAAATCCATTTGATATGTTTCTAGTCAATATATGTTAGGTCACACGATTATTAACTTGAATTATGAAAATTGTTGACTAAGCCAAGCACATGTGCGGCACATGTTCCTGCCATTTGTATTTTTCAGTATTCTATCATTTTTAATTAGAATGTCGTATGATTTACATAAATCGTAAATGTCAGGTGTCATTAACTGTTATATTGTACATGTAAGGATTGTAATTATACTTTAATAAGCTTTATTGAATGAATTATGAAATTACCGTATTTACTCATCTAAATGCGCACTGTTGAATTATGTGCAGTTTGTATAAAATTACCGTAGTTCCTCTTGTAAACACATTTTGTAAAATTGAGTTAGAAGTTAGAATCTGGTGCCTCGTCCTACAATAAAAGTGTAAACACCTAACATCTCTTTTATTTTCTCCAGGTAAAGTGGCTAGTTGTTACATTTGGGGGCTCGTCCGGGATAGTTGATTCCAAAGCCATGGGAGAAAAACAAGAGCTAGAATTCGAAGTCCTGGCCAAGTTATACCAAGCACCAGTTGAAACTCTTCGTGTCATCTTAAAGAGCCATCAGATCACCACAGAGCCAGAGAAGACAGACAAATTTCTGGCCATAAAAGCTATCATCGCCTGGTTGGATCAAGAAGAAAAATCTGAAGAGGGTAACTTTACAACTTTACTACTCCTTAATGATGCATTGACCCCAAAGAAAGTCACCATTAAGACAGAAAAAGGTTCGGGACCAGCACCAACACCAACTGTTGATACTAAAACCAAGCATCCACCTTTGTGTCACAAGGACTTCAAAATATGTGGTGAAATTTCTGACCGCCCTACCAGACTCTCATTTGTTAGCCTTATTAGACAGATTGAGGCCGGCATTCGCAAGTCGTACACTGAAGCAGACATAATTGATGGGGTCACCAGAGCCATTTCACCTACCCTACCTTTGAGAAGTTATTTGGAGGGACGTGACAAGTTGACACTATCATCATTGCGTAAATTTCTTCGGTCACACTATGAGTTCAGCAGTTGCTTTGTTTGTATGTTGTGTAATGTCCCTCTCAAGAATTTTTTATCACTCATATGAAGACACTACCACTTGCTGGTGGAGGGCTGCAGCTTTAAAAACCTATACTCGGTACTTTTGGCCATTGACCTCTGAGGGATCTTTTTCATGCCAACGTCTACTGCAGCAGGGGAACACAGTTTATACAGTCTCATCCAAAGGACTGGCCTCCATGTTCCACAGTGCTCCTTACTTTGAGACAATTGAGAGCTGCTTTAACAACTGCGCCATGCAGATTTCAGGCTTTGACACATGAATATGATTCTTAGCCTGAAAAATAAATTTCATTTTAATTTTAAACTTCTAAATGGTGTGTACATGGATATATATAGTAAACATGTAAATAAGTAATATGTATTTAAAACTTGGATTGTTACTTTATTGTCCATCATTTTATGAATTTGACACCTTTGCAGTTTCCGATACATGAATTTATAAGGATTGACTACTAGACTATTGAAGTTTCAAAATATTATACAACTGGACTTTCTATAATCATATTAGAAAGTTACATGTAAAGGGAGGACCATTTAATTCTGAGAATAGATATTGGGATTAATCTGACCTAGAATATTTAAACTGAAATATACAATGAATACAATGAAGATTTTTCCCCTCACGTATAATTTTTTTAGTGAAACGAAATAATCTGTCATAATTTGTCTCTTGTGATCTTGGAAAAAAAAATAATCTGACATTTCATATTCTGTCCATATCAAAAGCAAAAAATTAAATACACCCCCTTCACAGTTCACACCACCACAATCAGAATCAAATGAATGATCACTCCCTCATTTTTTAATCTTAAAAAACATTTTTTTCATTCACTCCTACCCATTCTAGTGTTTGCAACACACAGCGATCTTTTCATACATGTGGATCCACAGGAACAGCTATCTAGAGTTGAGTAGGTGGGAGATGTTAACTGCTGACATATGTTGATTCTTTTCCTTCTCTATACCTGTTCAAATAACAAATCAATTACAAAATTATTCAATTTTGCAAGAATAAATTGGTCAACATTTTACAAACACCATTTGATCATGTCTATTTAACAATGAAATGCCATATCTTGAATAGTACATCATTTTATAATAAGGCAAATCTTACACTGCACAGACTATAAATTACATAGTGTTTTAGTGACAGGGTACGGGATGATACCTGCTTAGTAAATTTAATACCTGGCGAGGCGGAGTCGAGTCTACTTACTAGGTATCATCCCGTACTCTGTCACTAAAAAACTATGTAACGAATTTACCCCACTGATGAAACATTTATGTATTATCTGTGGTTTATAAATGTTTTTCTCTGCTACATGCTTCATCACGCTTATATTGTGCATATTATGACATCACGTTGTGTTTGTTTTGTAATGTTGTGTTCGTGCTAAAATAATGAACTAAATAGAATGTGTTATAGCATTTCAGTAAAGAAGAAAATGTTTCTCTCATAATTACGCTACTTATGAATTTAACCTTGTCAACTGCAAACACTGAAAATATTAACCTTGTGAATTTGAGTAAGTGTTCCAAAATAATTTTACATGGACCTGGTATTGATTTACAATTGACTGGGTATAAATAATCTACCTCCGACACGTGGCAGACTCCAACCAATCGTAAGTCAGGATTTCGTTGAATAATCAACAGAGGTGGTGTAAATACATATTATGTATGTCACACTCATTTGTCTATAATGTAATTTGGTTACTTGGCCAGCAAATTGCTATTTCAGTATTTGCCTAATTTGGTAATTTGACACTGGTAAACAAAAAGTAAATCCAAGAAATAACTTATAAAAATTATTTCAGACTATTTTAAAACCGTGTATTTTTATTGGATCTATCTGTGAAAATTGTGCAAATTTTCCATGTTTTCTGTAACATTCGAATCATTGTTGATCCCGACTGGAGACAGAGAATACATTGAATTTCGATGATGCTATAAATTACAACCTAATAATAAATAAATGTATAAGGTGTCAGGTAAACTCCGGTTATCCATCTGTTTGGTGTATGTTCATTCTGCTGTTAGTTTAGACCTACTTTTACTTACGTGAAAAACAATGAAGAACATGTACATCGTGGAACTGCATTCGGGGTGACATCGTTTGTACAGTTGTTAAATGAAACCGAACGGCACCAATCTGTATATTTTCGTCTACATATAAACGTATTTAATCTATTTTCGGCGTATAAACTGCTTTTTTCCTTGCAAATGTATCGTTGCGTCCTTCTCTACAAAACATGGCGTCGCAAAACGGCTAGGGTGTAATGTCGTAAATTATCGGGGTTGGAACAGGCAAACAGCCAAAATTAATGAAATTCATGCAATGTTGATTTAATTTGGCTTTATTTTACTATGTTATCGATGTTAAATCCTTTAAACTTGTGTTTTAGCAAAATTATATGTTCTATGATCACGACATTGACCGTTCCCATCTTCCGCAGTTCGAGTTGCGCGGTGGATTCAGAAACGTCAGGTTCACATATCCTTAAAACGTTATTTTTTATCAGTTCTCTAAGAAATATAGTCCTCTGATTATACATGTATTGAAATCAGAATTTCAGTCACAATGCAAGATCTACAATGTATTCAATGTAATTTCCAAACAATATGTAGTGTTTTTGTGGATTTATAAATACTAAATACACGTTCTTGAGTGGGAATAACATATGAAGTATCCCTACGCTATGAACCATTTAAGCGAGGATAAAATGTAAACAACTGTCTGAAACAGAGATCGTGACCTACATGCGTGTGTATTGAATGTCGATCGCAGGCAAGGGAGAGAACAGAACAATATACAGTATTATACACTAAAACAAAACAGAAAGAAGCGTTCTGCTTGAATTGAAACATGCAATTAAATGATTTTGGGGTTAACATAGAGGCGTCTGAGGCGCAATAGTCCCTATTGAGCTCCAAAGTTCACCGTAAATTATTACAAAAGCGAAGTTATTTTCCCACTTTTCACCGTAAATTATCACAAAAGCGAAGTTATTTGCACTCCTCTGTATTTGTAATTCATTAAAAAAAAATCTATTTAGAACGTAAACTATCGTCCCGATCTTATAAATCTGTTTGGTGCTATCACTGTTGAAGAAAGGTGAATACATATACGTAACAGCGGGGCATTTGTACCTATTTCCCTGCATACTATTTACCACTTCAGCGAATACTTGGTCGGAACTCCTCTAGAATTTAGGATTCCGCATATACCGTAGGTAAAATTACATTGTTACAAGATGCAACACAGCTGGACATCTATCGATGTCATACCGAAGGTAGATCTTTTTTTTATTGTTAAAATGATTGAATCAAGCTGTAAATAGTGACATGCATATTAAAGCTTTTAATCTACTAGTTTACATAATATACTAATTACTTGTAGTACCAACATGTAAAGTTCTTATTATGTGGTTTTTATTATTCATAATTTTAAGAATTCACGAAGAAGAAAGTAAGGAAGTTGAAAATGAACTTTGAAGAGGATGTAAAAACTTTATTAGTAGATTGATAATTACGTATAATTTGGTTTCAAGCTGTAGACATTTATATTCATTGTAACTGGAAAATATGAAATGATATATTTTATTTTTAACTATGCCTTGTTCTAATCATTTTATTTTGATTGTAGTATTTTAAATCTTAAAGCTAATAATCTAGATTTTAAATTGATGGATGAATATAATCTCTAAAGTAAAATCACTTATCCCTTAATCTACTATTTTGGAAGTCAAATTTTTAAATGCAGAATTTATACTTTTCTTTAAAATGTCAAAATTGGCCTGCTTTTTGGCACAAAAAAATATAAAGAGATGGTTTTTGATTGGCTAGCTGCATCGATGATAATGTGATCAGAAAAGCTCACTTGAGCTTTCAGCTCAGGTGAGCTAAAAATAATCCGACTGTTTCAGGAATTCCAATTTTAATATCAAATTAATTGTTTATATGTTACTCTACAGGCATTGGCGAATGACACGGGAAGAAAATTATCGTTAAAACCATCACTCACGTTACAGGAAAAAATCATACGAGCTATATGCAAAAGTTGTGGGCCACTTGTGAACACCAGAAACTTACAAAGACATTTAAAGGGAGTCCTCATGGATACAATCAAAGGTAAACCCTTCATTACTGATATGTCCATTGTCTTTCTGAGTCGCATTTTTAGCTCTTCTGAGCCAAAGGCTCAAAGAGCTAATGCTATGGCCATTTGTGCGGTGTGCGTCGTGTGGTGTGCGTTAACTTTTTAGAATATGGGCCATAACTCATGAACCCCTTGGCCAATCTGTGCCAAATTTGTTACAGGGTATCCTTGGCCCAAGGGCTACCATTTATACTAAAATAAGGGTTGAAACCCTAAAACAAGGGGAGATAATCAGGAAAACAAAACCAAAAGTACTGGTTGCAAAAAAATCTTCTTCTCCAGAACCACCAGGCAGATTTTCACCAAACTTACATACAATGATCAGGATGAGTTGAAGATTAAAAATTGTTCTAGGCATGACCCTGGGGCAAAAGGCGTGGTCTCAAGGTCACTTCAAAGTTGACCTAAATTTACAATTAATGAAAATGTCTATATTTTGCTTACTATAAGGACTAGGATCATCAAATCTTGTAAGTAGATGCATCATAGGACTTCACATCATGTTAACTCAAAAGTAGGTCACGGTGACCTACTTTCTTAATTTTGCGGGCATTTTTTTTCAAATTAATTTGAAGGCATATTTAGGACACTTTAAGGCCTATGATCATCAAACTTTGTCAGTTGATGCATCTTGGGTCCTTGAACAATGTCAACTTAAAAGTAGGTCACCGTGACCTACTTTTTGAACTTTATGACTTATCCTTTTTAAAACATTTCATCCCATTATTTCAGACACTGAGAGGGTTAGAATCATCAAATCTTGTAAGTTGCTGCATCTTGGGACCTTAAAACATATTTAAGTAAAAGTAGGTCACTATGACCTACTTTTAGAATTTTGCAGGCATTTGTTTTCAAATTGTTTAAAAGGCATATTTTGATAACCTTCAGACCAATGATCATCAAACTTGGTCAGCTGATTCATCTTGGGACTCTGAAAAATGTCGACCAAAATGTAGGTCACTGTGACCTACTTTCGACATTTTATGGCTATATTTCAGTATCTTAGGTATTTATTGGCTTAGAATCATCAAACTTTGGGAGTTGATGCATCTTGGGTTTTCGGAGAATGACGACCAAAACAAGGTCATGGTGACCTACTTTCAATATTTTATGGCTATATTTATGTATTTCCAGTACTTATCAGCTTAGAATCATCAGACTTTGTCAGTTGATGCATCTTGGGTTTTCGGAGAATGTCGACCAAAAAGTAGGTCACAGTGACCTACTTTTGACATCTAATGGCTATATTTATGTATTTCTGGTACTTATTGGCTTAGAATCATCAAACTTTGTTAGTTTATGCCTCTTGGGTTTTCAGAGAATGTCGACCAAAAGGTAGGTCACAGTGACCTACTTTTGAATATCTCAGGTATTTATTGCCTTAGAATTATCAAACTTGGTCAGCAGATGAATCTTAGGCCTCTGATAAATGTCAACCAAAATGTAGGTCACAATGACCTACTTTTGACATTTAATGGCTATATTTAAGTATCTAGTACTTATCGGCTTAGAATCATCAAACTTTGTCAGTGTATGCATCTTGGGTTTCCAGAGAATGTTGACCAAAAAGTAGGTCACGATGACCTACTTTTGACATTTTATGGCTATATATAATAAAGTATCTCCAGTACTTACTGGCTTAGAATCATCAAACTTTGTTAGTTGAGGCATCTTGGGTTTTCCAAGAATGTAGACCAAAAAGTAGGTCACGATGACCAACTTTTGACATTTTATGGCTATATATAAGTATCTCCAGTATTTATTGGCTTAGAATCATCAAACTTTGTCAGTTGAGGCATCTTGGGTTTTCCAAGAATGTAGACCAAAAAGTAGGTCAAGGTGACCTACTTTTGAATATCTCAAATACATATTGGCTTAGAATCTTCAATCTTAGTTTGTCTATTAATGCACCTTGAGTCCTCAGAAAACTTCAATCTTAAAGTAGGTCACCGTGACCTACTCATGGTTTTTTTTTATAGCTTTATTAAAATATCTTCAGTCCTAATTGGCTATGAATCATCAAACTTTTTATCAGTTGCTGCAACTTAGGTTTTAGGATACTTAGGGTTAGAGGCTTCAAATACAAGTGATAGGTTGTACAATTTATCAGAAGAGCGATTCAAGGCCCTTGGGCCTCTTGTATGTTTTCCCCTTCTCCAATATTTGATGAACCTTGCTTTAATTAAAATATCTAATCTTATTTGTATATTTTTTTTCAGTGGAATTAGAAGGGTTGCAGAGGGCTGGATTTGGAGAACTGAAAAAGATCAGAAACAGTAATGTTTTCTTCAAGATACCAGGTACCCTTATCGATGAAGATATTGGTCCACATGTTAACTTCATTAAGATTGCGGGACAAGACGTTGCTACCTACCATGCACATTTTTGTGACGTTACCAAACTAAGCGCCGATATGATTGCCATTTGCCGACAACATCCAAACGTTGACATTTTGCTTGCAGAGAACATTTTGTAGATCATTCTTAAAATTACCTCGAGGTCTAATCGATGAAGAAATTGCTTTGCACGTTAACTTAATCCTGATTGCTGTACAAGACGTTGCTACCTACCGGTATCATGCACATTCTTGTGACGTTACAAAATTGAGCACTCAATTGATTGTCATTTTCAAAATATGAAATACCTCTTGCAGTTTTGTGACTTACCCGGTAGTCATACACAGAAAACAAATTATCTCGACAATATGTATTATGCTGACTCTTTTTACTGTAAATGGGCTAAAGCTACAAATTGTCAACACATCTTATTGTCAACTCAAAATACATATGAATTATGTTGTCAACCTGTCAACCAGATATAAAATCACATATCATATTAACAAATTTACTTTCAAACTTCACAATACTATTAGTGTCAACCTGTCTACCTGTAGACATGCCGACCTGTCTACCTGCCTACCTATCTTTATTAATACATTTATAATCCATTTATGAAATAATTGATTGACAATATAGAATGTAATTGGTTTAAATACTGCACCGGAGGCACGCCCCCCGCCTCCCTAAAATTGTCAAAGTTGACATAATATTAAATCAGTTTCATCTAGAAAATGTAAATATGTCTACAAGTACTTGGTAGACCTCATTTTTACCTTACAAAATCTCTAGAATCCAGGAGCTTCCTAGGGCTTCGCCCCTTGGGCCCCCAGACCCCTTGCCTACTTTTGGCGCACCCTCTAACTTCAATTCCTGGATCCACGCCTGCTTTGTATTATATAGATATGAATATTACTATGACTGTACCTAATACACGTGAATTGTTTTGTGTAT